AGGGGATCAGCTGGCACACCCTGGTGAGCCCAGGACATCAGCTGGCACAGCCTGGTGAGCCCAGGACATCAGCTGGCACAGCCTGGTGAGCCCAGGGGATCAGCTGGCACACCCTGGTGAGCCCAGGGGATCAGCTGGCACACCCTGGTGAGCCCAGGGGATCAGCTGGCACACCCTGGTGAGCCCAGGGGATCAGCTGGCACAGCCTGGTGAGCCCAGGAGATCAGCTGGGACATCCTGGTGAGCCCAGGGGATCAGCTGGGACACCCTGGTGAGCCCAGGGGATCAGCTGGCACAGCCTGGTGAGCCCAGGGGATCAGCTGGCACAGCCTGGTGAGCCCAGGGGATCAGCTGGCACACCCTGGTGAGCCCAGGGGATCAGCTGGCACACCCTGGTGAGCCCAGGGGATCAGCTGGCACAGCCTGGTGAGCACAGGGGATCAGCTGGCACAGCCTGGTGAGCCCAGGGGATCAGCTGGCACAGCCTGGTGAGCCCAGGGGATCAGCTGGGACACCCTGGTGAGCCCAGGGGATCGGCTGGCACAGCCTGGTGAGCACAGGGGATCAGCTGGCACAGCCTGGTGAGCCCAGGGGATCAGCTGGCACAGCCTGGTGAGCCCAGGACATCAGCTGGCACACCCTGGTGAGCCCAGGGGATCAGCTGGCACACCCTGGTGAGCCCAGGGGATCAGCTGGCACACCCTGGTGAGCACAGGGGATCAGCTGGCACAGCCTGGTGAGCCCAGGGGATCAGCTGGGACAGCCTGGTGAGCCCAGGACATCAGCTGGCACAGCCTGGTGAGCACAGGGGATCAGCTGGGACAGCCTGGTGAGCCCAGGGGATCAGCTGGCACAGCTGGTTTGGCTCCATGGGGGCTTCCTGAGCCTCTGGAGCCTCTGTGGAGAGGCTGCTGGTGCCTCTCTGCTCTCGTGCAGCAGATCCCTGGTGTCTGTGCAGAGCCAGGTACATGAGTTTATTACTGTCTATGCAATATGTAGATCATTTTGGACAGTGATGGATCACAATTTATTTCCACTGGCAAAGAAATGATCCATAGCTCAGTTATGAAGGTAATTCTCTCTTGTGTGGAAATGAATTGCATTATACCACAGCTTACTGTTATATATTGGTATCAAATGTGTTAATTTCATTGTTACCTAGCACTTCAGTTAATAATTACAACAAATATTAATGAGGGAACTGTCTCTTCCCAACCTCTCTATGGCTGTACCTGCAAGATGTTTCTGAACCCCTTTGATATCCTCTTCTCTAGAAACTTGAGTGCCATGCCAGGCAACAGCTTTCCACTTTTTGTCAGATACTGTGTCACAGTGACACCACTGCTCAATTTGCCGGCAATTTCCTGTGGGTTATGGTGCCCTGTGAGATGTAAACTAAACACTGCTCTGAGAACTGGGATTTTTTTGGTCCTTTTTCTCTGGAAAAACAAAACCCCGAACTGCCTAATTTCTTTCATTTCCACTTTTATTAACTTCTGCCACTAGAATTGCCTTTAAAGTTGTTTCTTTTCCCCTCAGACTTTGCTGTTAAGGCATTGAAGAACAGTTTTACAGATGCCCTGCTGTTCAAACATTTATTCTACACTTGAAAAATATCAAACTACGAGTCTTTTTTGGTTTTTTTGTGGGTTTTTTTTTTACAAAATAGAGTAATGGCTAAGTAAGGATGAGCTGGTGACAGTGCTTCTTATAAACACTCTGTCCTCCAGGCAGTGAACACAGTGGAAAACCCTTTTACCATCTCCTCCTGATTTTATTCTCTCCTTTCACAGTCTCTTTGCTTTTCCTGTGGGTACTTCACCAAGTAAGAAATGTCTTTGCTGTGGGCCTGGTGCAGTGAGGCTGTTACCTTCCCCTGTGCTCATACTGACCATTTCTTGCCCTGAGCAAGGTGTGGTGGGGCAGGGACCCTTCACTAGACCAGGTTCCATCCCTGCTCTCCTCTGTGCAGGGGAAGGAGCAGAAGGAGCCCTTGGAGCTGTCACTTTTTCGAAGTTGCAGATTGCTGGGTTAAATTCCACACTGTCGTTTGTGCCTCATTTCCTGCATTTCTGGATCAAAGACTGATGTCACAAGTTGGCTTCACAACTTGAGCTCAGGAAGGGGAACAGCTATAGAGGAGGCAGCTCCTGGTTAACACGCAAATATGCTTGATAGTTGGTGAAAAGGGCAAAGAAAGCATGAAAGGTAAATAGATTTACATTTAAATGAGCTGCATGCTGGAGGTTTTCCCTAATGTAAAAGTCACTCTCTAAAAAAGCTGTGAATGTGACAAGTCTTTCAGTTCAAACAAAATTCATAAGAGTTCAGCAGTAAGAGAAATAAAAATGTAAAGAATGCCACACTAATTGGGGAGTTGGTTCTGTGCCCCCTGGCTGTGTTGGTGAGCAGTGGCTCCAAGGAGGGCATTCCATGGTGGGCAGGGATGGAGCCCTTGGGTTTGGAGTGTGAGGTGGTGCTGGGAATGGGTGGCACACACTCAGGCAGGTGCTCAGCAGCCAGGGAAAACCACAGACAGGTACACTCACCCCAGCCTGCAGGGGACAGTGGGGGCAGCTAGCGTGGGGAGAACTCTGGGTGTTCTTTACTTTCTGAAAAGGAAATTATTCTGCAGTTTCAAATCAGAGGCAAAGAAACGGGAGTTGTAAAAGAAGAGCTGTTTCCACAAGGGTGGAATAGGAAAGGGGTATTGCATTTGCTTCCAAAGCAGAGGTTTTATGCCATGATTCCTTCCTTCCATCCTTCCTTATTCAGCAGGATTTGGTGTGGTTGAGAGGGAAGCAGTTAACAATCAGTTGTCTGCACATTATCAATAGTTATCCAAAATTTTTCAGCTTTAGAGGGCAATTTGAACTGCTTTGGTCTCCTGTGCTAAAGTTCTGAAAATCCACCTTTTTCGATTCTATGTATTGGTTTTGTTGCAAGTATTTGCAAGACAGAGCTGAACCTTATTTCAAGTTGCTGCTGAGTCTTTGATATACATAAAATAATAATACTTTTTTTTTTTCAAAATATTTTGAAAAAGCATAAGATAGAGTAAAACAGAACACCTCTATTTCATTAGAGTGGTATACTTGCTTCCAAAGTCTGATCTTTGTACCAGCATCTTATGATAAAATTTTATAACATAATTCTGTCAAACTCTGTGCTCCCAAATTTTAAAAAAAAGGACCCTTGCTGCTTGAATTTTCTGCATTGGATTTATCTGAACTGAAATAATCGATCATTATTATGTGTTGCTTTTATGTGATATGTTTGTGCTTTCAAAGGTTTAACTTGTGTTCTGAGGATCACATAATAACTTTACATGCTTGGAGGAAGATTTGCTACCATTCATCCATGTGGAAGAACAGTAGTGAATATTTTGTGTTACCTAACTGAACGTAGAAATACTCCATGTGAAACTAAAAGTCTGATTTCATTGTCACTTTAACAGTTGTTTTCTCTCTTGTGGTTTTCTGATAATGTTTAAACATATTTTCCCTGAAAGAAGTTTGCAAGGTTTAATACTGTGTGTGTGATACCTACTTTAGTGTTCTACATTTTTCAGTCTGTTGGTTAAAGCAGGGCTTTTTGGGGTGTAAACTGCTACCTGCTCTGCACTGTTGCCTGAAGAAACAAGCTATAGGTTGTTCAAGATACAAATACCCTACATTTTCCAGATGTGTTGCAGAGAAGGTCAAATGTCAGGTGTCTTTAACCACAGAGTGTACTGAAAATGGGAATTTTTTCAGTTTATAATTATCTTTGTGAGAGATTTTAAATTCCACTGAAGAGAGTCATATTCTATTTTTGCTTTCCTGCAAATTAATGCATTACATAGATAATTTTGATTAGTTAATGATTCCTTTTTTTTAATGTTTCCATAATTTTCCTTGCATAAAAGAAAAACTTAGGTAGACTTAGTATATGTAAAACAGAAGCACCATGGAAAAAAAAAAAATTGTTTACTGTCAGTTGCCAACTGTCCTAATCAAGAGGAGAATCTTAGATTTACATCACCAGTTGCATTACCTGAGGGGAAAAAAAGCCAGGATCCCTGTTGGGTGTCCGTGTACCTTATGCTGAGTAAATATTGACAAAGTAGTCTAAAGAGCAAACACTTTGACATTTGTAAGGTCCACTGGAAGGTCTTGTATATATTTATACAGCAAGAATGAGTGCAGCATACCAATTCCATTGAACTAGCTCCTGACATAATTCTGCATGGGCTTTCTTGTTGAGGAAGTTGTGTTTAGATGGGAATGGGGCATTTGTTACACCCATAAAGAATATCCTCAAATTGCTTTGAATGAGTTGTTTCCAAAGGTTACATCACTTCCATTTAACCATCTCTTCTAAAATGTGACATGACTAATAATGATAACTTTAAAAAAATCTGATTTTTAAAATTTATTTTAACTGGCAATTTTTTTACTTTGTAGAAATTCTTGATGTTTGTTGTGCTCTATATTTATTAAAGATTGAGTCTCAAAACTGTAATGAGCAAAAAATGCTTGCTTAATTTAAATTGTGAATCTGTCTGTTAAGAAATGCATTAGGGGTAGGAGAAGCATAAGACATATTAATTGACAGACAGGAACTGCTGTCTCTGAGGTTGATACAAGTAATTTATTACTTTAGAAATGAATGCCACCTCCAGAATGTGCTTCATTAATTTCAAATTTAGTTTTAATTTCAAGCTGTTGCCCCTTGAGAAGAATAAGGTGGCAAATTATGTTTGAAGAGCAGATTTTTTTTCTTGCTCTGAAGAAACACTAAATTTTAACTGTTTAATTTTACAAATAAGTACACTTCTTTGGCTAAGGCAAAAGTATGATGAGCAGAAACTAACTTGTATTTTCTTCTCTTCATAATAGCCTATGTTTCAGACGAACTAAAAGCAGCAGCGCTGGTGGAAGAAGATGTGGAACCTGATGAAAATGCAGTTGATGGGGAGCCTTCAGCAAAATATGCATGTCCAGAAAAAGACTTCAGTAAGAACTGCCAAAGCTACCAAAACTCTCCAGCAGCTGAGTTCTCTAGCCATGAAATGGACAGTGAGTCCCACATCAGTGAGACGAGTGACCGCATGGCAGACTTTGAGAGCAGCTCCATTAAAAATGAGGAAGAGAGCAAGGAGGTTTCCATACCACTGGAAGACTCCACGGTGTCTGATAGCTTGGAACAAATGAAGGCCGTGTATAATAACTTCCTCTCGAATTCCTACTGGTCCAATCTCAATCTGAACCTTCACCAGCCAATTTCAGAAAAAAACAACGGTAGCAGCAGCAGTAGCAGCAGCAGCAGCAGCAGTTGTGGAAGTGGCAGCTTTGACTGGCACCAGACTGCGATGGCCAAAACACTGCAGCAAGTTTCTCAGAGCAGAATTCTGCCAGAACCAAGCCTTTTTAGCACAGTCCAGCTGTACAGACAGAGCAGTAAGCTCTATGGCTCCATATTCACTGGAGCCAGTAAATTCCGCTGTAAAGACTGCAGTGCTGCCTACGATACTTTAGTAGAATTAACAGTGCACATGAATGAAACGGGACATTATCGAGATGACAACCACGAAACAGATAACAATAACCCCAAAAGATGGTCCAAACCTCGCAAACGTTCCTTGCTTGAAATGGAAGGGAAAGAAGATGCCCAGAAAGTGCTAAAGTGTATGTACTGTGGTCATTCATTTGAATCTCTTCAGGATTTGAGTGTTCATATGATCAAAACAAAACACTACCAAAAAGTGCCTCTGAAGGAACCTGTTACACCTGTAGCAGCAAAAATTATCCCAGCTACTAGAAAGAAAGCATCACTGGAGCTTGAACTTCCAAGTTCTCCAGACTCCACGGCTGGGACACCAAAAGCCACAATCTCAGATAGTAACGATGCACTTCAAAAGAACTCCAATCCCTACATTACGCCAAATAACCGCTACGGTCACCAGAACGGGGCCAGCTACGCCTGGCACTTTGAGGCAAGGAAATCTCAAATTCTGAAGTGCATGGAGTGTGGAAGTTCACATGACACCCTGCAGGAGCTCACAGCTCACATGATGGTGACGGGACATTTTATTAAAGTCACTAACTCTGCCATGAAAAAAGGGAAACCAATTATAGAAGCCCCAGCCACACCGACAATAACGTCCTTAGTGGATGAGAAGGTCCAGTCTGTGCCACTAGCTGCCACCACCTTTACATCTCCTTCCAACACACCTTCTAGTGTTTCCCCTAAATTAAATGTTGAGATTAAAAAAGAAGTAGATAAGGAAAGAGTTATTGCTGATGACAAAATAAAAGACAAAGAGAAGTCAAGTGAAGATGAGGAGAAGTATGATATCTCCTCAAAATACCATTACTTGACTGAAAATGACCTAGAAGAGAGCCCTAAGGGGGGATTAGATATATTGAAGTCTTTAGAGAACACGGTTACATCAGCTATAAACAAAGCCCAGAATGGCACACCGAGCTGGGGTGGCTACCCCAGCATTCATGCTGCCTACCAGCTGCCTAATATGATGAAGTTGTCGTTGGGCTCATCTGGGAAGAGTACACCCTTAAAGCCTATGTTTGGAAACAATGAACTAGTGTCACCAACTAAAAACCAGCCCTTAGTGTCTCCACCCAGCAGTCAGACCTCACCTGTGCCAAAAACAAACTTTCATGCCATGGAAGAATTGGTGAAGAAGGTCACTGAGAAGGTGGCTAAAGTGGAGGAGAAGATGAAGGAGCCCGAAGGAAAGCTCTCTCCACTGAAGCGTGCGACGCCTTCGCCGTGCAGCAGCGAAGTCAGTGAACCCCTTAAGATGGAGCCCCCCAGTGATGGTGGCTTTAAAAGCCAGCAGAACAGCCCAGTTCCTCAGAGAGATGGTTGCAAAGACAGCCCAAGTGTAGAACCTGTGGAAAATGGGAAAGAGCCTGTGAAATCCATTGTAGGCTCTTTAAGTAGCAGCACAGCCATCATCACTGACCACCCTCCCGAACAGCCATTTGTAAATCCATTAAGTGCACTACAATCTGTCATGAACATTCACCTTGGCAAGGCAGCAAAGCCATCTTTGCCCGCTCTGGATCCAATGAGCATGCTTTTTAAAATGAGCAACAGTTTGGCAGAAAAGGCTGCAGTGGCCACCCCACCTCTACAGTCCAAAAAATCAGACCACTTAGACCGTTATTTTTATCATGTCAACAATGACCAACCCATAGATTTGACGAAAGGCAAGAGTGACAAAAGCTGCTCTTTGGGTTCAGCGCTTTTGTCATCCACATCGACATCTTCTGCATCTTCTTCATCTACAGTGACAACAGCAAAGACATCTGCAGTCGTGTCATTCATGTCAAACTCGCCGCTACGCGAGAATGCCTTGTCAGATATATCTGATATGCTGAAGAACCTGACAGAAAGTCACACATCAAAATCTTCCACACCTTCCAGCATATCTGAGAAATCTGACATTGATGGTACCACAATAGAGGAACCAGAAGAGAGTACACCAGCTCAGAAAAGGAAGGGACGTCAGTCTAACTGGAACCCTCAGCACTTGCTCATATTGCAGGCCCAGTTTGCAGCCAGCTTACGGCAGACTTCAGAGGGGAAATACATCATGTCAGACTTGAGCCCTCAAGAAAGAATGCACATTTCCAGGTTTACGGGACTCTCAATGACCACAATTAGCCACTGGCTGGCCAATGTGAAATACCAGCTCCGAAGGACGGGGGGAACTAAGTTCCTTAAAAATTTGGACACTGGGCACCCAGTGTTCTTTTGTAATGACTGTGCTTCACAGATCAGAACTCCTTCAACTTATATCAGTCATCTTGAATCGCATCTGGGTTTCAGGTTAAGAGACTTGTCCAAACTGTCCAGTGAACAGATTAACAATCAGATAGCACAAGCAAAGTCACCGTCTGAAAAACTGGTGACATCCTCTCCAGAGGAAGATATCGGAACTTCTTATCAGTGCAAACTTTGTAACAGGACTTTTGCAAGCAAGCATGCTGTTAAACTTCATCTTAGTAAAACACATGGGAAGTCACCAGAGGATCATCTTCTGTATGTTTCGGAGTTAGAGAAGCAGTAGCATTTGCTTTTGATTAAAATAACTGTAATTTGCTTTGAGGAAAACTGTCAAAGACGCCTTAAAGCTACTGTTTAGTTCTTGGCACATGTTCTTATTTTAACTCCAGAGTCGCTCTGGGCTGAACTGTTTTGTATAACTGTACAGTGTTTAAATAGAGGTGCATAATCAGCTGTTGTTACTGGTAAAATATGAAGGTTAAAATGCAGTGGTAAGTGTTTGGAACTTTGTGTAAATTGGATTTAGTTGCTGTGCATCCCTCTGATGCATCAAGCTGCATGCATTAACAGACAGTTTAATTAAGCATTTATAACTAATTCTGGTGCACTTTTTCATGTGACCTAAGTGTGCTGGTATTTCTCACCCTATAATCTTTAGCCCTCTGAGTACTTTGAAGCACTTTTGCATTAATTTGGTAAAAATGTAAGGATATGCTTTTTTTTTAGACCCCTACTAGCTTAGTTCTGATTACTGATATGAACCTCCATTTATGCAGAGGTGTCTCACACCTTGAAATTTAAAAATATAATTTTCACATTGAAACATAGATGTATATATTGTATAGATTTCAAAATCTCTTATGGAAAATGTGATTGTGGTTAATGCCATTTTCTTTTTTTTCAGCATTTTTAGCAGCAGCGGGGTTTGTACCTGATAAGACCCAGGTATAAACTGTACCTATATATAGTGTATATTTCATTTTTTTTTTTAGATCTAATGGTTTTTCCTTTAACAATCAAACATTGTAAATTATGTGATAAAAGATACCACAGATAACATTTATAAAGTATTCAGAAACATTATTCTTAAAGCAAAGTATGTTTTGCTTTGTTTTGCTATACAGTACATCTATATTAAGAGAGGTTCATGTTTAAATTATACATATTTATTAGTGTTGCAATCATTTGTTTAGTTTTTTTGCTTTTGTTTTTGTTCTTTTTTTTTTTAAATTGTCTGAAGAAACAGAAGCCACGGACTGCATTCCTGGCATACATTCTAACTGTTTTGCACAACATGACTTTTAAAGGTATTTATTAGTAAAAAAAAAATAAAAAAAATAAAAAGAGAAAATTCAAAATAAACTCAGTGCTCAAAGGGTTAAATCTATTTGAAAAACTTGTACTGTATTTCCTAAACATTGATAAAGCCTTTAAAATGTTTGTACTGTAATACTTTGCTTAAAAAGTTATGAGGCATTCTGTGATATAACCTCTTTTACTTATTTATAAGCGCTCTTGGTTGTTATTTCCTATTGTAGAATGCCTTTTTATTTCAATTGGTAACTTTCTGTTTTGTTCTGCCTAATTATTCTCCCAAGATTCCATACTGCAGCTTTATCTTTAGGCATATGAAAGGTAACCCGTGGTTACCAGCACACTAAGTGATTCTGTTCGTCTCCATTTTTGGCAGTTAATTTGCAGAAGTAACTGACAGCTGACACCATATGAGAATCTATGTATAAAATATTGGCATGTAAACAGCACAGACACTGTAATGCACTCTGTGCCCTGTTTTGTTGTTGACAATGAAGCACCATTATATGACTCTTCATATAACCTTTTTTTCTACAGCAGCATTAAAATTGTCTTTTTGCTATAATTTTGTGTTGCGTTCACAATTATGTCTGAAATGTGCTACGACTAACGAGCACATTAAAATTAAATTGTATGCTATCTGTTTATGACTGAAGCTTGAGTAGGTTTCTTCATCTGCCAGGTGCTGGCAGTCAAAAGCTGCACATAAATCACTGGAGTTTTAGTGAACTTTAGCATTTAAAGAGCAGGGTAGCACTTATTCAAAGGCTGCATTAACAGAGTTTCTTTCCCCCCAGAAGAGATAAATGAGCATTATAACTCCCTTTTAAGCATCAGGTAAGGCTGGCTGTGGAGAGGGGGGTTGGCAGCAGTGCATGGCAAAGCAAATGGGTGTTTTGCTGTGAGCTCAGACCCAGGCAGGCACACTGCTCACCTGCCCTCCTCCTGATGCACTGAGCAGAGTCTGCACCCGAGGGTGTTCCACAGCTCAGAGAATCCCTTTCCACCTACCCAGCACTTCCAAATGACAGGAGAAGGAACCTGAGAGCAGTTACTCCAGCTTTGTGGTTTTGCAGTGAGTCCTCTTCTGGCCCTGCCTGCTGCAGGTAGAGATGGGGAGAGGAGGTGAATAAACACAGCCAAAGAAAAGCAAACAATCTGGAGAATTTATATGATAATGACAGACTTCTGCTGGTGTTGACAGGTCATCCCTTCATAACCTTTGAAAATAATTTGCATCTCCAAACACCTATATTGCTATGCATGTAAGTGATGCCTTTTGCCAGTCAGGTGAATTCTGAGTCCAGAGGTGGTTACAGGGGAGCCAAATCCACCATTCCAGCACTTCAGCATCCTGAGTGAGAGCTACCATCCCCATGCCAGTTTCTTTCCTTTCTTTTTTAAAAAAGTACAGTGTCTTCCAGTAAGCAAGTAATTGAATCTTTGGTTCTCTTTGCCTTTCTGTCTTTCTTTCCATTTTTCCATCTTTCTCTGTAATGTTAAAGGCCAGTACCATGTCTCAAAAATGTGTTGGAATGTTCTGTTCATTCTACAGCAAATGCTGCTAAGTGGACCAAGTGAATGGGATCAGGGCTTTGGTTTTTTTCCTCCTCCTTTGGCTCACACTTGTGTCTGATTTTAAGGTCATTTGTGTGTCAATGTTTATGGCCTCAGCTCAAATTCCAGCAATAAAATCACAGCAGTTTTACTGGTTGACTGTACCATCCCAGGAGTCCCTCACTTAGTGAGGAAAGGGAACCTGGCTGGCTGAAGTCTTCCCTGGAGCTTCCCAGGTGCCTGTCCACACTTTTTACAAATACATGATCTCAGTCTAAACCCAGCCAAACTTTTTACCTCTACAGCAGAGAATTCCTCTTTTGAAAATTATAACAGCTTAAATATAGTATTTGGTTGCAAACCAGAAATTCACACATAAGGAGACTGGCAGATTATTGCATATATTGTCAATCAATGTATTTTTAAGATGCACCATTGACTTATAATAGTAATGCTCAGAGCTCTGTATGCAATACTGTTATCTGGGACACGGGAGAGAGCAAAAGCAAGAGACTGCAGAGTCTGCAGGGTTCTTTCCACTCACTCTTAAAATACAGGCAGGGCAGCTGATGATCTGATGCAACCTGCCTGATCTGGTGAAAATCAGTCCCTGGGTCTGAAAGTGCAGTGAGATGTACCAGGTACAAATTCAGGGAATGTCCAGATCTGCCAGCGTGGACCAGAAAGGACTTCTTAATGTGCTTCTTAAAATGTGCATGAAACTTTGCAAATGAATGGCTAGTCAGGATCTGAATATCCCAAATTTATTAAAATAAAGTTCAGCTTGCATTTCAGAACCTGCAGGACTGGCATACCAATGTGATTTCACATTATAAAGAATTTAGAGAATCAATGAACTAGAATAATGTTCTTTTCATCCATACACTGGTATGTATATTGGCATGGTAACTATTAGTGCTAACCAAATCACCAACCTAGCTGTGTTAAGATAATTTTTTTCCTATTAGACAAACATGAAGGTATAAATGCAGGATTTTAAAATAAGCATCTGACTTCTGACTTTTGCTTTGCATTGGGTATTTTATTTAGAAATATGCAGATCAAGTGCAAGAGAAAACAAAATGCCTCAAGAAAGAGGTTAAAAATGAAATTGTGATGGGTGAGAAGAGCTTTAAATCACAGGTGTATAAAGGTGACCCTGGTCTAACCCCACCCAAGTAGTGGCTTGTTGCAGCATACTGTATATCTTCCAGCCATCACATTTACGCAGTATCTTAAAATAACATTTGTGATAAATGTGCAATTTAACTAATTTATGGTGCTATGATGTGCTCAGGGCTACATGCAAGATGAAAATCTTAAATGGAGCTTGAACAGCTCACTTCACAACAAGAAATCAATATGCCAGATCTTAGAGAGCTGTTCACTGGAGTCAACATTTAGCAAAAAAAAAAAAAAAAAAAAAAAAAAAATTCAGGGACTGTATCTTTAAGTTTTAGTGAGTAGGAAATCTAAAATTAACTGAAATATGACTTTTAAGCTAATGTAAGGAACTGTTTCTGAAACCAAAATCTTTCTAGAATCTTCATTATATTTTATTTTTGTATTAAAATTGAAAGTATATTATTTTAATTATGCAGGTGCTTTTGTGGTAACCACTGTGTGCAATTTTTTATCCAAACCAAGGCAGATTAGTGTTATCAATATGGGAATTATCTGTTGCATTTAAATATGGCTATGTATTTTGCTATATAAAGCTAAGCATGATATGACTCTGCATGTTATGACAGCAAAAAAATCTGGCTATACTTTGAGATTTAAAAAAATACTGGCATGTATTGAACGGAAGAACCTTTTTTAATTTTGCAAGTTCTTATTTCAGCTGCAACAGAAAAAAAAAGGAACAGTGGTGCAAGTGGAACAGAGACAACTGGTAATAAAGCTAAATTTAATTAATAAATTTTGTATTTTAAAGTACGCCTCCAGAGAGCCTTATATATTTCCTAGAAAAATATCAAATTATTACAATCACTGCTGCCTGCTTTGTTTGGGTAACTTCTTGCTACAAGAATATGCCAGAGCTTTGCTAGGTGGTCTGTTACCCACACTGCTCCACAGAGCTGAAATACAGGGAATTCTCATAAAACTAGACTCTATCAAGGAAGGTAGAAAAAAAATTCAAGATTACCAACTTTTTAAGAGTCGTTGAATTGTCCTGTTAGCCAAGGATGAAAATTTCATCCTTTCAAGGATGAAATAGCATTTAATACTTGATTGGATAGTTACTGTTTTAGCTTGGAAATACAAATGTGTAACTCCCTGGAGTATTACTAGTAAATACATACAATCTCCAGGAAAAATACCCAGTAAATTCTCCTCTCCTGGGACTCTGTGCCAAGATGTGCCTTCCAGCCCTTGCTTGACCTGCTGTAGGTAAATGAGAGAACAAGAAATAATTATGGAGCTGCCATCTTGGAACATCAAAGTGGCTCTGTTGGTTGGGGCGTGGTAACTGAATTTTGTTGAGTTTTCAGTAATTATCCTGTAATAATGAAAGGCTGGTATATATTTAAAACTATGATATTACAGCCCTCATTGAAGAGTATTTGCATGAGAAGTCAATCTTTTACCAGTGAAGGAAGAAGGAATCAGGGTCATTTACAGGAGCAAGTGGAATTATGTACTAACACATCATTATACATGTCTGAAAGCATTGGTGAGGTTGCAATCTGTTTTCAGGCCTTGGTTTGGGGCAATAATTTTAACTAAATGTTCAGCATGAAAAAGATGACTTAAGATTTACTAACACGTTGCTTGTGCTGTGTTCATTATCTAGTACATACACAAATACAGCAGTGGTGTTCCATAAATTCTTTTTTTTTTACATGTAAAAACAATCTTCCTTTATGCTTCATATGCAGCTTAGGTGTGAGGGTAGCAGTTTGTTTGTTTGTTTTTCATCACTGTATAACAACATCTACGTGGGACACATTAACTTCCTCAGCAGCTGTTGCTTGGTTCACTTTGCCTTATTTATAGCTTGAAATGCACTTCTGGTTAAATAATCTTTTAAGAGAATTAAAATCAGATAGACTTTTTGGGATAGATGGGTATGTCCAGACCACTCATCAAGTTCATATATACAACCTTTATTGAAATGAAAATACCCAACTGCAAATCATACTTCCATAGCTCTGTGCCTATCTTTCACTGTGGGAGTGCTTAAAAAGGAGAATTAAAAATTACAACCCAAGGCAGCTATGCCAAAAAAAGGAATTTTTGAGTAATAACATAACAAGACA